TTTTTTTTTTTTTCTCTCTCTCACACACACACACACACACTTATATATATATATATATATATATATATATATATATATATATATATATATATATATATATATATATATATATATATATATATATATATATAGGTCTACTGTGCATTAGGCATGGGACGATAACCGTGTTCAAGGTTTACTGTGGTTTGGAAAAGTCAAGGTTTGAACACCATCAACATTTTCTGCAATACCGTTCCTAAGATTTTTTTTATTTACATTCTTCTTTTTTTTTTTTTTTTTTTTTAGGACAACAATTTCTCTAGCAGAAAAGAACTCCAAAGATGCTGTTTTAAATTGCAAAAACAATCTGTATTCTTGAAAAAAGACAGCAGAAGCCCACAATTAATTTAAATAATTTAGCTGGACTCATTTACTGTTCCAAAATATTTAAAAATGTTTCCCAAATTTAAATATATAGTGTACAAAGAGGGAAAAGGTTTTGTCTTTTACCCAAACATTTAAAAATAGCATATTTTACAGCTGTAATCTCAATTCTGTGATACTGTGAAACTGTGATATTTATATCCAAGGTTAACATACTGTCAGAATCCTATACCAGCCAATGCCTACTGTACATTATATTTGCAAGTAAATAATATTTTTGTTTTACAACTGGAATGGCTTATGTATCATTTAAAATGTTAATTTCTCAAATTATAATAATTTTAAAAAGAGGGCAAATGTAGTAATACCATGGTAAAAACAAACTAAAATTAATAACAACTGCTATTTTTCACCTTAACCCATCAATGAGAATCTGCTGATCAAATCTAACTGATTCAGTAGAAAATATCAAGCTATGGCTGTTTTATGAAATGATCTTTCAGCAAAATCGATGAGCAAGTGCCAGCATTACTCCATGTCTGGTCGAATGACGCAAATAGGAACCAAATGGTGAATGAGAGATTAACATTCTCCAGTAGATGTCTCAAGATATAATTGAGGATTTTTAGATTTCTTAAACATCTCAGTGATGTTCAATAGTATGGAAAGTCATTGCGATGATGAATAATACAGTCTGACTTGAAGTATATTTACGAGTCTCGCATCTATAAGCTCTTCAGATGCTGTTCCACCTGCTTCAGGATGCTATTAACCGCTGCTGTTTGGGCTGATTAACTGAACGCTCTCTGCAGATCACTCTCAAGTGCAGATAGTTTCTGTCCTGTTCAATTGGCAAATACCTTGAATTTTCTTTCTGCGGTATACCAGCTGGGAAATAAGGTAGTTTGAGCCCTGAGGCTTCATTTTGAGAGCCTGTCTGAAGTAGAACTGAAATTAGGCTGGTCTCCATCTGGGACAATACCTCCTTCAACTCCTTAACAAACTGTAAACATCAGCAAAGGGATATAATAATAATAATAATAATAATAATAATAGAGGAGGAAACATTCTGACTGACCACAAACCTGAGTTAATTCCAGTTCATTAAAACTCATATCAGTGGAACTCCACCGCAAAGTTTGGAGAGATGTGTGCGGTTCCCCAACAAACACAACACACAGAGGACAACATTCAGACTTACGACAAAAGTCAGAAAGCTCCCATACTTTAAGATCACATCAATGAAGATCTACACAAATATTAACTCCAAACAAACACAAGGCGGAAAAAGACTAAACACTTACCTCACCACGCTCCCGCTGCATCTATTCGCGCCATTTTGAAAAGCGCGCCAAAAGAGTTCACTGCTTTAAATGTGTTCCTGGAATTGAATTATGGGAATGACGTCGTAAGCAAAACATTAACACATCTTAATACAAGCTTTATAAATGAATAAATGTTATGTCATTAAAATCAGACTGCGTTTTAAACACTGATAGTTATTCAGAATTCTCTATGAGGCTATAGATAAGTGGTTTGAACTGAATACTTTTCAGTAAACACGAAAGACTGTAAACAGGCTATAATTCCGACTCCATTTTAACAGTGTTAGGTTTATGAAGCAGATTAAGCACTTCTTGAGGGGACAAAATGGAATTAATCACATTAAAACTACCTCAGTTTCCAGTTATTGGAGGTTTTTTGTTCAGCCGTGTCTTATACAAATTACTACAGATGTTGTTTAAACCTGGAAATAATCCAGTGGTTAATGTGGTGTTCAAGGTAATTACCTAATGTTTGTACAATCCTGATCTCCCCTTTGTAACATTGCACTCACTTTATTAGGGATAATAATGATATTAATAATCACGGGAGGTTTAATAAGTCTATAAGATTGTCACGAACACCTTGCTTACCGGTGAAGTCTCACCTGGTCATCTTCAGGTGTATGTCGACCTGACAGGATGTGAATGAGGACACCGCGCCCTCTAGTGGCCGTACTCTACATCAACACACATGAAGCATCACAGCTCTGGATTTATTTTTATTTGCAAGTAAAAGAACTCAAAAGAGCATTATTGCGGGGTCTCTCCTCTAAAAGCTTCTCCTGAGAGCATCTCAAGCCAAAAAACTCAGTAAAACACCATCAAAGTGCTCATTTCAGTGACACGAGACAACAAAACTACAGAAATGATTGAATAGCGGGCTCAGTCTAGTGCAGCATCTCAGTCCTTCAGGAAAAACTACAGTTATGATGAGCAGAAATCAGCCTGTCTGTCATCCACATCTCATCAGACTCATTAACTAATGAAGATCTGTCTTGCGAAGCACTCGGGAGAACAGCCTGGAGAAGCTGGAGGTCAGAGGTTACAAACACACAGGAGTAAAATAACACTGGCTCACTTTAAATTAAAAATATTCATGCTCGTTCCAAACCTGAGCGACATTATTTAGCAAAGCACAATTATTATTGTTATTTTTGTCCACATTATGAAAGGTGGTTTGTGTTGAAAAGTCCAATTGTCCAATCGCCTGGGGAATACACAGACACATATTGATGCATGTGTTTGTGTTGTAATTTGTGAGATTTATAGTTTTACATCAATGGTATTATATTTAACGTCATTTATTTATTTATTAAATAGTTTTGTGGACTTCTATATACAATATTCTATATACTATATTCTAATATACAGTTTAAATCTAAATAATTAAATAATTAATTAATAATGTTTTGTTATCTCATGTGTATTTACCAAACACATGGATTTGAAAAGTTAATTTAAAAATGTTTTACTGTGGAATATTAATGTGAAATACACATATAGTTTTGCTGAACAGTAAATAAATTCCACATTAAATGTCATGTTAATTAAGCTCTGCTAGATTAGTATAGATCTAACTGATGATCAATCATCTCTTTGGTACAGCCACACAGGTTTGGAACAGCATGACAGAATTGAGTTCAGTTTTTGGTGCGTTATTAGGCAAGAGTGTGTGTGTGTGTGTGTGTGTGTTTAATACATGTGTCAGTGAAGTGTGTGTGTGTTCATTAAAGGGGCAGTTCACCCAAAAATGAAGAACACTCACTGTTGACTCTAAAACAAGTGAAGGCAGAGTGGATGATGAGCGGTTTGATTTGTGTGTGAACTGCCCCTGCAGTATGCTTATGTGTGGTCATTTCAGACTGGTCTGTTTGGGTAGTTTGGGGGCCAGCAGCAGCTGCTCCTCCTGAGGGCCAGGGCCCTTCATCGCCATACTGGCCCCGACCATCGCCGGGTAGCTGCGGTTCCTCCGCATCCCCTCGTTGAGGGGACTGAAGGGAGAAGCAGCTCTCCGGAGCCCCAGCGGAGCTAGGAGTGGCCCCGGAGGCCCGGCAGCCCCCGGACTGGCCAAACCCAGGCGCTTCAGCTTATCCACCAGGTTGAGGCTGTACATGCTGACGTCAGTCTGGCTCTCGCAGTCTCGAGCCGGAGCCCCGGACACCTCCTGCAAGAGCGATCGCGCCGGTCTGGAGGCCAGGAAGTTCTCATGGGTCGGGCTCTTGAAGGAGAAGAGCTGCTGTGTGTGCGGGGGCCCGGGGCCACGAGTGGGGGAGTTTGGCGGGGTGGAGGGCCGCTGAGGGTCTGCAGGTGGAGCTGGGGGGACGCATGTGGAGAACAGCACCCCTCCGGCGCCCCGGGGC